AATGTTTTAAACTTTCTTATCATTATAGACATACGAAGTTACTAGTGTGAAATTCGAAATTATAGACGTATTTAACCCTTTAAATTTTTAATAAAGTTAATTTCCTTTAACCTAAGAAACTTGACCTTAAAGAAACGAAATATAAAATACATGAGAAAATTTTAACTCTTTCTATTCAATTATAAACATTCTCACAATCAAACCGTGTGTTGTTTATAAGTATCGGCGAAATTCGTCAGATTGTTGTCATGTTAACACCAACTTTAACCCCATAACTGCTAGGACAATTGGTCACCTGAGAAATTTTCTCATCAAAAAGGTATAAAAGCCCGTCTCCTTCCCCTCTCGGGGGAGTGACTGATCAGGGAGTTGCCGACAGATGGCCAAGACAGACCATCGCTTCCCTCTGACCTACCGTACAACATTTATCGGAAGACCTGGTATTTCAACTCGATCAACCTTCCAGAAAGTAAAAGCCCTCCAAAAATAATTGAAAGAGGTATGAACGCTTTATTGTAAACTCTCTCTCTCATACGCGAATTAGAAAGAGTTTTGTAAATTTAAGTTCGTTAAGTAGTTAAATAAACTCTTGTTTGTTTTTCATGGTGTCTTTATCCGACTATGCCGCGTCTTATCATCGACCCCTCTGACACTCCTCCACTCACATACGCGTAACTGAGCGCGTAACAGATCGTAACGTCATCCTTGACAAGAAAGTAGGTCAGAGACAGGTGGCCTGAAGGAGAGGACTCCTCCTCCCTCCCGGTGGCTCACACATATGTAGTGCCAGACGGCAATGTGCTATGCAAAGAGCAAGAAGTTGCCAATGCTCTATAACATGTGCATTTTTTCCAATTTTATTTTGAAACTCAACATTTGAAGTTCCAAGGAAAGTCATTCTAAGTTTTGAATCCTGTTTTCAATTAATCTGAAGCAGACCTTGGGCGAGGACGAAAATATTTGTTCCCAAAAATGTAAGCGTTACTGGAGATAAAGTTTTGTTGAGTGGGAATGTTTATTAACACCGGTAATCAGATTAAAAGTTATTGTTAGACTATTATATTTGGAGATCTAAAACTGCAAAAAAATTATATTTTAAATTTCATTTATTCAGTTAATGAAAATAAAATGTCCAAACTAACAAACAGAATGATCATTTGTTTCTGCTTCACAGAAAAATGCCTAAACATACTTTAACCAAACTTCATATTTTAAATCTGTTGATTCAAGAGAAGGTTTATACATACATATGATCTTAAAATTTACATTATATAAATTAAACTATAATAAATATCTGTCTGTCTGTTTCTCTGTTTACTAGACAATGACATGCATGAATCAGCAGCTGCCCCTTCAAGCAATTATCTTTAAGAATGTTATAACATTAAAGTGTAGTATTATGTTCAGAGAACTAACATTAAAAAGTAATTAGAGAGAAATTAGCAAAGCATGTAAGAAGTTGAAAAAAGTGACATTATTGTGCCTAGATTGCACTACATATATGCTTAGTATATTTTTTGAAGCATTTCGGGTTATGTTCATGATTACTTTGTTCCTAATTATATTGGTAAAACTTTTCTGTGGTTACTAATTGACAGAAAAGCTACTTACCAGTAATCCTGCTTCCACCATCTGATGCTGGTTTCTCCCATTTCAAATCTACATATGTTTTTCCAACTTTTGTTACAGTTACATTTTGTGGTGGTGACGGTACAGCTGTTTAAAAAAAATATTTAAAATATTAAATATATATATTATTATTATCGTTATTATTAGTATTATTATAAATATATACTCACTGAATTTTGCTCTGACTTTAAAGCTTGTTGGTATGCTAGGTTTACTGAAACCACCAGCATTTTTAGCTTTAACTCTAAATTCATAGTCCTTATTTTCTGTCAGTCCTGGCACTAAAATAAGAATGATAAATTTAATTAATTACAAAACTTAATATTCCATTTTTTTTCTTTGGGATATCATTTAAAAATTTCATATTCCTAAACCTCAATTTTGTGACTAGAGTTAAAAAATTGATAAACTAATTATTAATATAAATAAAAATATAATAAGTTATACCTTTAAATGTGGGATCTTTTACTAAATAGTCATTAGCCACTCTCCAGGTTCCATCTAATGGATCTCTATATTCTACTTGATATCCTTGAATTCTTGATCCTCCATCAGTAGCTGGTTTCTTCCATACTAAAGTAACACTATCTGTGTCCCAATCAGTAACTTCAGGAGCACCTGGAGGTCCTGGAACATCTGTATAAAGAAGTATATAAATATTGATTATTTGCAACACTACAATCACATTAAGGATAGATGATATTAAATTAACAACTGCTACTATACTACTGGTTAAAACTATAAATTAATAAACTCTTCAATAACCTAACAAACCAGCAACAATATTTTTAAACAAAGTGCAAACTATGATATTAAATTTACCAAATGGAAATTTAGCAGTAATAGCTGTTTCTGTTCCCAAAGGAGTTCCAACTCCATACTGATTTTCTGCACTAACTCTAAAATTATATTTCTTTTTTGGCTCTAAACCAATTACATCATAATGGCATCCCCGGACAAAACTGCTGAGTTTTATCCATACCTAAAATAATGTAAATGTTAAGTTAATATTGGATAAATAAAAATTTTACATGTATATATAAACTACCAATACTATAACTAACCCCTGTTGTTGGATCTTGTTTTTCAACAACGTAGTTTGTAATTGGACTTCCACCATCATCTGCAGGAGGTCGCCATGATAAGGAGCAAGTTTCAGGTGTGATATCTGAAACTTCTAATGGTCCCTGAGGTGGTCCTGGTTTATCTGTTTAATTTTAAAAATTGTGTAAATTGTATAATCATATAATTATAAAAATTGTTGTGTAAAAATTCATTGATGTAAATATACATCAATGAATTTTTGAAATAAGAATCCCATTTATGATATCAAGAAAATAATAAGACTACTATTTTTAAATCTTACCTACAACAGTTACTCTACAACTTGCAGAATCAGAACCTTGTGGATTTGTTAATTTTAATGTATATTTTCCAGTATCCTCTCTCTTTGCTTTTTTATTTAAAAGAACTGTAAACTCAGCATTTACTTCAGTAGAAACTCTGTTATCTGGAGTAACATCTTTGCCATTCTATTAAGTATTAATAATCTTTTATATTATTTAAATTTTAATTTTTAATAAAGGTCTTATAAATTAATTTCTAATAATATAATTTTTGAACTTTTCTACAGTATGTGGAGAAAAATTTTAAATTGTATTTCTATATTATTTATAATAATTTTTTAAGCAAATAATGATTTAAAATTAAACATATTTTGTTATTTTAAATTAATTTCTTTAAAATTAAAATTATTTATCATAAAAATAATTAACTTGTCACATTATAAATACTTTCAAGCTGATAATCTGAATTTAAACATTATAACATTTATCTATGAATAATAATAATTTAAGTTTTCTAAAATCAGTGTTTTTTATTACAAATTTAAGAAATGTAATATAAATTTTTACTCTTCTTTAAATGTGATTCAATAATTCTTTAATTTAAAAAATAATTTCTGCTATTCTGTTGAAATTTATTCAAAAATATTTTAAGAATTTTTAATCAAAATTTATTTAATATCTTACAATTGTCCAGGTAGCATGTGGAGTAGGATTTCCTGTGTAAGGTACTCTGAGTGAAAATTCTTCACCAGCAACAACTGTAATATCCCTCATTGCAAAACTTGTATCAATTTTAGGTGAACCTAATTAAAAATGTATATATTATAAATATTCATAGTCAGATTTTATTTTTTAAACCTATTTAAAACAAATTTAGCAAATTTAAAATATGTACATACTTGGAGGAGATTTAGCAAAGATTCCATCTGATGCTGAACTCCATGGTCCTTGACCAGCAGCATTTACTGCACAGACACGGAACTCATATTCATTATTTTCAGCTAGACCACCCACTTTATGTGTAAGGTCAGGAATAGTTCCAAGTGAAGCTCTTGACCACTTATTATCTCCTTTCTTTCTTTTTTCAACAACATAACCTGTAATTGGACTTCCTCCATCATTACGAGGTTTAGTCCAAGATAGTGTTATAGAATCTTCTGATGTTTCAACAGGATGTGGAACTCCAGGTGCACCAGGTGGATCTAAAATTTAATTAATTTAGTGAAATATATAATTTTGTTTATTTTGAAACTTTTTAAATGCAAATAGTAAATAAATGCATTTTAAAAATTACCAAATGGCAATTTAGCTAGGATTGGTTCACTCAGCAGTGCAGGATCACTTGTGCCATATTTATTTTCTGCCATGACACGGAATTCATAATAACGTCCAACTGTTAAATTACGAATTCTTAAAGTAGTTGAAGTGATAAAACTGCTGATACGAGTCCAAGAACTAGCTCCTTTCTCTCGTCTTTCCACAACATAATTGGTCACCTCAGCACCTCCATTATCTTTAGGTGGTAACCATCTTAGTGTCAAGGAGTCACCATCAACATCTTCAGCTCTTAAATTCTCTGGTGGACCAGGACGATCTATAGTGAGTAGATATTAAAATGCAAACTTATTAATTTATGCCAGCTTTTGTAAAATTATAATTTTTAAATATTGAAAAACTTACCTAATACAGTTACTTTACAATAACAAGTATCAAAACCAGATTTGTTCTTTAAGAAAAGTTTGTATTGAGCTGAATCAGAACGTTTTGAATCAGTGACAGCAAGAACAGCTTCATTATCTGCAAGCTATAAAAATTAATCAATTAATATATTAAAATCACTTGTAGAAAATATAAATTAGTTTTAAAATTATCTATTATTTAACTATTTCAGAGAATTTAATATTTAAAATTAATTAAATAATAAAGTCAAAATAATATTTTTAAGCACCTATAAATTTTCAGGAGCAAAACACAGAATTGATAATTTTTGTAATGCTTATCTTTCTGAAGAAAATATAAATGAATATATTGTATGTTTGTATCTCTAATTTTGATTTTATTACTTTAACTAATTTATCAAAATATCTTACTTATATATGAGAAAAAATATATTAAATTCAATTTTATATGTAATTATTTAGCATCTTATATGAAGATATTTTATGTTTTAATCTAAAAAAAGAATAATTTTAAAATATCGATTTATATTTTAATATAAATAAACCATATAAATAAACCTTCTATACGCATAGCATATAGAAGATGTCCATCTATTTTTCCTCTTATACGTAATGAGAAGGACAAGCCTAGTCGGGATAGGCTGCCAGGGGTGTATTCGGTGCCACTCACCGACCATAGATGTGACAAGGAGCTGGTATACATTGGGGCCACAAAAAGAGCAGTCGGAGTAAGGTGGAAGGAGCACCAAAAGGACATCGAGCACAATAGATGTAGCACGGCTTTATCGGTGTATGCATCGGACCCGGAGATATCGGCGGACTTCACGAGGGCCAAACTTCTCATCACGACGTCGTATGTAGACCAACTTAGGTGGCTAGAACAAATGGAGATATGCAGAGCCTACGAGTCGGCAACCCCCATCAATTACAAGGATGAGATGACATTATCGTTGGCATGGCAAGCCTTATTACGGAAAGGAGACTCGGATTAATCGACATCGTTATTTAGAATGCGGAAGGAAGAAGGGCGCGTGTTATCTCCCACTTCTGACACGCTAAAACAAATTTATTCGAAAATTACGTAATTCTATCGTACGAATAAAAGATCGTTACGTGGATACTGAGATTTCGGTTTGAAAAAGCACGTGATGCCCAACGGAACTCGAAATAAGAACATTTTTGAAAGGCGTTCCAAAGACAACGGGCAGTAACGATGTGTTACGAATAGAACATTGCCTGAAGAAGGATACAGTGGTGTCCGAAAACGTTTGCGATTGAAATTCTTTCACATCGGTTATAGGTTTGGAGATAAGTTATTTTTATATTTTAATATATTTTTCATACAATAATTTTGAAAATTATATTACATTATAAACTATAAGAAAATTGTTAATAAATAGTAATTCCTTAAATTAATCCTTAATAATAATTGACATAATTAAATATTTTCCATTTTGTTTTAATACCTTTCTGAAATATCTTGTGTCTTTGTCATCCAAATCTCTATCACCTTTTGACCAAATGGCATTTGGTTTTGGGAAGGCAGTGAATGGCACACTAATATTAAAATCTTGACCCGCTTTTACAGTTATATCTTTAACAGCTCCTATATCAATTCTAGGTTTGTCTGTTCAAAAACAGTAAAAATTAATTATGATTTTTTTAAAACACTTGCTATAATTCCACAACAACATCAAAAATCTGTTTTTTGACATTTTTTATTAATTTAATTTAGATGATGATATATATTTTAATCAAAATTACTGAAATAATATATACACTGGACGAAAAATAATGCACCATGAAGGACTTGTTGGATTTGAATAAAAATTGTTATGTGGAGAAGTACATTGACTTGGTCCACTTTTTCCAGCAGCATTGATCGCATATACTCGGAATTCATAATTATTATTTTCAGTTAAATTCAAAACTGTGTATTCACAGTCAGTAGGAGTATAGTCATTGGCTTTAATCCATTGTCCTGTTGGACTAGATAAATCACGTCGTTCAATAAGGTAACCTGTGAAAAATTGAAAAGTTTCATTACTTTGGCTTTCTATCAGATCATTTAGAATAGCTTACAATGTACATATACAATAATATAATTAATATTGNTGATATATATTTTAATCAAAATTACTGAAATAATATATACACTGGACGACAAAAAAAATAATGCACCATGAAGGACTTGTTGGATTTGAATAAAAATTGTTATGTGACATCGTCATAGCTAGACAGGTATATGATTGCAACCATAAAGCAAAAACATACTTTATTGTGCAGTAATGTGCAATACAGTGCAGGTGCTAATATCTTGTTGGGACACCTCTAGTGCAGATACAAACTGTGATACGCCTCGGCATGGAGGCATAAAGGTTGCATATAATGTTCTGCGGCATATCTGTCCATGCGTGATGCAACTGGGACTCAAGATGCATCAGATCCCATGGCTGTCACAGCTGGCGTCCCAGGTGATCCCACACATGTTCGATTAACGATAAATCTGGAGACCGTGCAGGCCAAGGAAGTGTAGCAACGTTATGTAGGCATGCTTGGGAGACCACTGCAGTGTGTGGCTGGGCATTATCCTGCTGGAATATGCCTGTCAGAAGCCCTGCCATGAGGGGCAACATATGTGGCCGGAGGATGTATTGCACATATCATTGGGCTGTGAGGGTAGTATGCATGACAACTAGAGGTGTCCTACTGTCATATGTTATGGCTCCCCACACCATAACACTGGGGGTTGGGCCTGTGTGCCGCTCCACAGTATAGGCTGGGTTGACACCTTGATCAGTGGGCTGCCATGCCCTCACACGGCCATCATGAGCCCCCAAACAAAAGCGGGATTCATTGCTGAAGACAATACACTGCCAGTCAGTAGCCGTGCATGATTGTCATGCACGACACCACTGTGGACGGAGGCATCGGTGGGTGGCTGTTAATGGTAGAACACATATTGGGTGTCGGGAAATCAATCTGCCTTCTATTAAGTACCTGGAAATGGTGCGGCTGAATACATGGTTCCATAATGCAGGTGCCACCACTGCATGAATGTTAGACAATGGAGCTGTAGGCGCTGTCCGTGCTTGATGTACAATGAGACGATCCTCCCTCCTGTTGGTCTGTCGATAGCGTCCGGAGCCTGTTTGCCGTTCGTTCGTACCCCTACGTACCACTGCTCATAACACATCCTAACAGTTCCATCAGAACAGTTCAGATGGCTGCCAATCCAGAGGTATGACCATTCTCCTCCTCTCAATCCAACGATGCGACCTCTCTCTAACTCACTTAACTGAGCATAAGGGCGCCGAATGCATTGTAGAGGCATGTCTGTCACTCAACGAAGTCACAGCCATCAACACAAGCACAGGACATATGCACAGGTTGTCACAGCGTGCACCTTTATACCAGACAGAGGAAGCATTTTTCTTTCCTCTGGTGGCAATATGACACAAGAAACTGTTCCCAAAAGCTAATCATTTACATATCTAGCTATGATGATGCAACATACCAATTTTTATTCAAATCCAACAAGTCCTTCATGGTGCATTATTTTTTTGTTATCCAGTGTATATATATATATATATATTGTCATGATCTACTTCTTGTTAAGCCGTAACAATCGTGAGCTATTTCATGTACATATATCAGTCGCGGACCACTTTCTGTAAAGCGGTAAAAGGGCTGGAGCAATAGCGTAGGAAGACTGGAGACACTTCTGGACTAGCTGTCTTAGCACCTGGCTGCATGTAGCTACGCTCCATATTTCGTACGACTTCTTATATCCCAAGTAAAATTTAAATTGGAGTTAGTCATTGTTATCTCTGAATGTTTTTATATAATATTGATACATCGTGTCAATCAATTAATTATTATATCTGCTAGTTGGGAACAACCCAATAAGGGCTACATCATTGATTATTCTTTCAATATAATAATATTGAAAGAATAATCAATGTATAAGAATAATCAAGTCTCAACCTTTTATACTATGTTATTTTTCTTTAACAATGCTAATAACTTATTGAATCTGCCTCATACTTATGTAATGTTAGCTGTTACTTACATCTTCAAATGCCCAGGTAGAATCAATGACAGTTTTAATCTTTCCTTCTTTCCACAACCTGAACACTTTTTCAACAATACCTCTGATGTATTCATGACCTCCTTGTTGGTAAAGCAGGTGTCTAAGGTTGAAGCCTGAGATTGACTTATTTTCATCAAACAGTTTTATTGGGTTTACTTTATCCACTTGCCACCACTGAAAAAGAATACTCATACTGAAATGTTTGAAATTAAGATGTACGAAACTCTCCAAAATTATGGAAAATTTTTAATATTTCTTCCTTAATTATGGAAAATTCATAAAACTATATAAAAAAATATATATAACTTTGAAAATACACAAGAAATTCTTTCAGTAAATGCTCGTACTAAGAAATAAGCATAGTTTGAACAAAACATGATAAAATTAACACAACAAATTCAAATTAATATCAATATAAAATAAACATTAAAACAAAAGAACAACAACAAAACAAACACAATATATAAGCATGCATTGTACTCACAGACTTAGTTATACTAAAGAAACTTTTTGTCTCTCCAGTAACAATGCTGGAAGAACCTGAAAGAGAAATACTTTAATATTACTCACTGATTTGGCAAAACTGAAGAAGCTTTTGGTTTCGCCAGAGACAATACTTCCAGTTCCTGCATGTAAGAAAATAGATCAAACTTTAATAATCTCAATAAATAATAATGTTAAATATATGAAAAGCCATAATTCAGTATATTAGTATATTCATATATTATAACTCATTCTGACATTACTGAATTTTTCATTTGTAAATTATCTCTCATTAGTTTTTGATTATGCAAAAAAGATACTAACATCTGTNTCATTTACATAAAATTATTTTCAATATATATATACAATCAAATACTAATTTAAATTTTAATATTACCTGGCTGATCTTCAATAAGAACCATAGCACATGGTTTACTTGGTTGACTTTCCCCGACATCATTCACAGCAAAGACACGGAATTCGTATTCTTTATTCTCAGTTAAATTAGGAACCTACATTATTTTATAAAAATATTGTAAAATTCCTTAAGTCAATAATCAATATTTTAACAGAAAAAACAGATTTTTACAGTAAAATTAGTATCAGGATGAGGCATATTATTGACTAGATCCCATTCTTTGTCACCCTTTGCTCTCTTTTCAACTAAATAACCACGTAATTTGCTACCACCATCATTAATTGGCTTATTCCATGATAGAGATGCAGAATTCTTTGTAACTTTGTCTACTTTTGGCATATCAGGAGCATCTGGAGCATCTATAAGAATTAAAAAAGATTTTTTAAGATTCATTTATTATGACAATTCTTATTTTTATTACTACTTCATAATGTTTAAATAATTATTATATATGAAATATTTAATGTGACTGATTGCTTACATTTACGATCCTTTGCTGTAATTGGATGAGATGGTCTGCTTGGTTTACCAGGGCCACCTTCATTAACTGCTAAAACTCTAAACTCATAAGTACTTCCTTCACTTAAATTAGGCACTGTAAATTCTGTATTTGGTGTAGGATAATTATTAACTTTTGTCCATTCTGGTGAACCTCTTTCACGTTTTTCAATAATATAACCTGAAAATAAATTAAACAATTAATGTTCATTTATTAGTCAATATTTAGTTATTTTTTTATAATCATTTGGTTAATACCTTCAGGATGATTAGTATATTTAATTTACTTTTGTGGACTTTGAAATGATTATTCAAAGTTACTATACAGAAATGAGATAAAAATCCAGACAGTAATTATGTTTTTGATTCAGATAAGATACAAATCCATTCAAATTTACTTTTTGTTTAGGTTTAACTTTCAGTTTTTGAATATACAATTTATAAATTAAATCATATATTTATGTTGTTTATAAAATACAGTAGGTTCTGCTTAATGGGGTTCAATTATGCTGATGTTTTTCTGAAGAGCTGGGGAAAAAACTCTATTATATCTATTTACTAGACTACATTAATGTATTAAATAAAAAGAAACATTTACTAAAACATAAATTAATTTACAAAAGTTTTATTTTTATTACAATCTCTGAAAAACATTGGAATTAAAGGTGCATAAGATAAGAACTGTCACTTGCCTATAACAATATGTAATTGATATGTTCAAATTTTTAAATAAATGATGATAAACAAATATACAAATTTCATTTGCCATACTCCTAAATGTAAGTTCACAAAGCTTAAAAAATAGAAACTAGTTAAATGATAAAAGATAATGAATTTTTAATTTTTCAATAGCCCAAATTATATAAGTAACCCAACTTGGTATCTTGATGTATTCCTAGTGAAATACAATCTAGGTGGCAAGCAACTAAGTAAACAAATCAATGGTATGATCAGTTACATATGAAATAGATTATACCATTGGTTTTTGTACTTTAACTACATTGTAACATCCTCTTAAAAGAGATTTTAGTAATATTGTTTGTGTGGATAAACCTTGATATAAACCCTTACTGAGCAAAGGTTGATAAAACATGCTTCTCAAATGCTAAATATTTTCACATCATGTCACATCAAAATATTTTAAAGAAATAGTGAAGCTCCTGTTAGCAATAAAAATCTTAGTGACAACTATCCTCTCTATCCATCTTTGTATTGATTCAAAGTTTTTTTTTTGCTAAAGACCAGAAGGCTGTCTTTCGACTTAGCCTGAATACGAGAAGGAAGGAAGAAGAGGTGTAGAGGGTGGGGTATGAGAGGTTTAGAAAAGTTGGAAGGAAGAGAGGTTAGATGGGGTATCCCACGAATGCCTTGCATCGTACTTGTAAGTAGAGAACAATTATAGTACATATACAATATAGGGTGGTCGCTGTTGACCAGTGCTTGTTGAACTTTATGATTCAAAGTTTATATAACTATGAGAGTCAGTCCAAAAATAAGTTTTGTGTAGGAATTGTAGAGAAGATACTGCTCATCCAAGATAAAGCAATTAATGCTCACTTGGATGGACATGTTTTTTCGAGGGTTATGAAACCTAGCAGGATATCTGGTAGGCTACCAGCCATTCAGTTTGTGTTCTGTCAAGTCAAACAGGACAAGCAAATGCTGATTGGCCAGATGCCCACAGAAAGATAATAACTGGGTGTAAGTGAGGGAACCAGAGAGAACTGTTCAAATGAACATTACTCTGGAAGAAGAGAGAGAGATAGAGAGAGAGAGTGAGAGTGTGTGTTGACTGATAAAAAAAAAAAAGAGACATATGGTTCCAGCAAAAAATTAGACATATTTACCCAGGAACAATGATGATCATCATATTGACCTAAGATTACACAACAAGATGGGATCTGATGAACATTTTTACTATGATATTAAGAGATGAATTGATTAGGAAATTATTACCCATCTGCAGTTAGAGCCATTATTTGCACCAACCAATAGATCACTTTGGTTGTCTGAGATTTGAGACTGGACATGTCCAAGTGCACCATATCATCTATAACATTCTGGACTACAGCAAAGCATGATGGGTGTCATGACAACTGACCCCAATCATATGTCCCAAAGAATGAGCATCAATCTACAACATTTTCTGCATTATGAGTAGCAAAGTGATCTCTTTCTGTCATGATGGGGTGAGATCTGGATTCACTGTTACTCTTCAAAGACAAAGCACATGGAATGAAAGCACTGCAGTTCCCAGTTAAAAATAAAAATTCAAGATCAATTCAATGCCAGCAAAATCATGTGGTCTGCACTGTTGGAATTTATTCATGATGGAACAGTGAATACCACAAGGTACTGCCACCATTCAACAAGAGGCCGGGTCTGCATACTTCTGGCATTCTGCTTCTGGATGATAATGCAACAGCCTACATGGTGGTGACAATAGCAGCTCTTCCAGAAAGGTTTCATTAAAAATGTTTCAATACTCTCCTAGTTCTGATTGTAACCCTGCAGTTTTCACTTATTTCCAGCTTTGAAAAAGATGCTGTCTGGACACCATTACACCAGCAATTATGATGAACATGCCATTTACACCTTTGTCAGTCAGCAAGACAGAGTTTTTATGTGAGCAACTTTTCCAAACTATTGAAGCAATATCATGTCTAAATATTACTGGAAACTGTGCAGAAGTAGAATATGTGTTCTATTGATGATGCATTTGCTTTTCTCATTAATAAATCTTGTGAATAGGAACTAATAAAATTTATCAAAATTTTCAGACTGACCCTTGTAATATATGAGATTCAAGTTATAACACTGCCGATTATTTTTCTTGGGACTAGAAACAGATAGAAACATGCAGTTTGTTTTAAAATACTCATGCACTCATTGTGAATGCCTGACAGAGATGGCAACACTGTATGGCACAGAACTCTAGTGGCAGTAGTGAGAGTGAGGACTGTTTTTGATACTTAAAATGACGATGTTTTCATTACAAAAACAGCATGTAATCATTCATTTTTTCCGTTTGAGTGGTGTGACAGCAATTGAAATTCATCGCCAGTTGAGTAAGACATGTGGTGATAGTGTCATGGATGTGTCTAATGTGCGTTCATAGATGCGACAGTTCAAAGAAGGCAGAACATCGTGTGACAACAAACCAAGACAATCTTGGCCTCGCACCAGCTGGTTTGACGATATGATTGAGTGAGTGGAGAAAGTTGTTTTCGAGGATCGCCGAATGAGTGTGGAACACATTCACCTCCAAAGTTGGCTTTTCCATGGGATCTGTGCACACAATCCTGCATGAAGACCTGAAAATGCAAAAAGTGTTCTCCAGGTGGGTGCAATGAATGCTGACAGATGACCACAAGGCTGCATGCATGGCATGTTGCCAGGCAATGTTGATGCATGATGATGGCATGAATGGGACTTTGTTTTCATTGATTGTGACAATGGATGAGACATGGATGCATTTTTCAATCCTGAAACGAAGTGCCAGTCAGCTCAATGGACTCACACAGACTCATCGCCATAAAAAAAAATTTTGGGTAAGCACCAGTGCTGAAAAAATGATGGTGGCCATGTTCTAGGACAGCAATAGCATAATCCTTACTCATTGCATTCCAAAGGGCATTATGGTGACAGGTGCATCCTACCAAGATGTTTTGAAGAACAAGCTCCTTCTAGCATTGCATGAAAAATGGCCAGAAAAGGCTGCACGTGTGCTCTTTCACCAAGACAGCGCACCAGCACATCGGGCGAACATGAGGCTGCAGTTTCTTCGTGACAACTTTGAAGTGATTTCTCATGCTCCCTACTCACCTGACCTGGCGCCTAGCGACTTTTGGCTGTTTCCAATGATAAAAGACACTCTCTGTGGTTGCACATTCACTAGCTGTGCCATTATTGCATCAGCGATTTTTCAGTGGTCAAACCATACTCCTAAAGAAGTGTTCACAGTGGCCATGGAATCAGGGCATCGACATTGTGAAAAGTGTGTATGGCTACAAGGAGATTACATCTAGAAGTGACAAAAGTTTCACAGTTTTCGTGTGATTAGTTGTGAGAAAAAAAATCAGAGGTGTTATAACTTGAATGCACCATGTATTACAAAAATAGTAATTTTTTTAAAATTAGAAAATAGATATTCTTTCATTAGGTAGATTTGTCAGTTACCTGTAACTGGTTTTCCACCATCATTAGTTGGGGGACTCCAAGATATGTTTGCAAAATTAGGACCAAAATCTTTAACTTTTGGTTGACCAGGAGAATCGGGAGTATCTACAAAATAATTTCATTAGTTATACATAAAAATTCATTTTACTTTATTTGTTTAAGAACTAATATAAATTTAAATTGAAGTAATGCTAATAACCATTTTAATCTGATTAATTATTATATTGTCTTTAACACTGTATCAAAAATGCCATATTTTAATATATTACTTTCTTAAAAACTAAAAAAATTAAAAACTTTCTTGAGAACATACCAAATGGATTCTTTGCCACAACAGGTTTTCCTTCAAGAGGCTCCCCAATTCCATATGGATTTTCTGCTCTTACTCGGAATTTATATTGTTTTCCTTCTTCTAAGCTCTTAACTGTGTGTGTTGTCATTGTTGTAAAACCAGCAGGAAGCCATCTATCAGTTCCAATTTCACATTTTTCAATTTGATAACCTAGAAGTAATTTTATATATTATAGAAATTTATAAACATTTACATAAATTTTCTATTGAATTAAAATCTACAGTATATTAAAATGAAGCTACCATTTATATCAGCACCACCATCATCTTCAGGCTTTTGCCATTTCAGAGTAACAGTGTTTGCTGTTGTCTCAGGATATTCAATAGGTCCTTTTGGCATTCCTGGTTTATCTGTATTTAAAATAAGTTTCATTATTTTAGTAAAGAGATTCATTATGTGTAAAAATATAAAAAATCATTATTTATTACATTAAACTTACCATAAACTAATACTGTGATATCAGCAGAATCTTGACCATAAGAATTGTTTGCTGTTATTGTATATTTTCCACTATCATTTCTTTGTGTTACTGGAATGCTCAATGCAATCATTTCATCAGCAAATTCAGTCTGAACTCTATTTGTAGGTGGAATAGGTTTATCATTAATAGTCCATGAAACTGTTGGTTGAGGAGCACCAGTTAATGGAATGTTGATACTAAGAGGATCTCCTGCTTTTACTCTTATTGTTTTGCCATACAAACCATCCAAGTGCAATTTGGGCTTTTCTATAAGAGGAAAAATTAAATATATTTTTTAATGTGTTTAAATATTAATATTTTAAATTTTTTCACTAATCATTCATTTTTTGATGATTGTAATTTTGTCATGACATTTAGTTAAAAGTTGACATTAAACATTTCAAAAAGGAGAACAAATAATAATCAATCATAATTTTTCATTAAATACATTGGTCATTGTTTTATAATGAATATATAACACATTTAATTATGCAAATTATATACATACTAGCAGATGAGCCTAGCACTGTTTTGGCAAAAGTAACCATAGCAAAAATTAAGATTATTAGATTATAGCCAATCTTACCCATTTTTACCAGGTGCAAGAATTAGGTTCACCCTCTTCCGAGACTAATTAGAGAATTTTTAGATGGGTCTAAAAACATGTTTGATTTCCTGCAAAAAACCACACCTACTTATATAAGCTATTGATCCCACTGTTTGTAAATCTGTAATCTGTCACAGAATGCCTAGAATGCCCACTAAGCAGTCTAATTCAGTCTAATGTTTAAATTAACAGTATAGCAGTCTAATTCAGTATATTATTATTTTTATTTGTAATAGGAATTTATTATTGATATGAATTTATTTATACCAGGGAATGACATTGCTGCTGCTAGAACGCTCACTAGAGAGCATCCCTGGCTATCTTGTTTAAAATAGTACAGTAAAATCTGAATTCAGGATAATCCTTAACCCTCTCCCTCTCCTCCACAGGAAAAATTTTGGAAAGTCTGTTCTTTGTCTACATTCTCATGATGTACTAAAATTGTGGTACTTTGTTATGATTACCTGGTATATATAACCTAGCTGTTCTATTGATTATGCAGTGCCTCTAATTATTAAAAAAAAGACAATACAGAATAAATGTGTGATTTATTGATTTGTTATGTAATTTTTACATTAAATTTGTAATATTGTATTATCTGCAAGAATACATATTTAAACAATTTAACATTATTTTGTGAATCACAGAATCCTAAATTATAAAATTTTTGGCAAAAATAATAATATATTTTTTAATAAAGATGAAATAAATGATAATGATGAATGAAATGAAAAAGATTAATGGTCTATTTAGTTTTGACTGTCAGTGATGAATTTACTTATCATGAAGTCATTAATATTAGCATATATAATGTTAACATACTGTAAGATATTACACAGCAATAATATCTAGATGATGTCAAAAGCAAGCACAGTTTTCCATATAGCTTTACAATGAGTCATTAAGAAAACTCAGAAAATCATGCCAACAATATACAGTACTTTAGTAACATGATTTTGTAGATTTCCTTACTAAAGAATGAATTAAAATTCTAACATTACTATATTTAAGGAAAAAATGTGAAAAATAATAATTATTTTATACCTTTCATTGGTTTTGCAGCAATTGGTTTGGAAGGTTGACTTGGATCACTTGATCCTGCTGCATTCCTTGCAGTTACTCTATATTCATATTGATGACCATCGGTTACAGTATTATCAGTATACTGTACAGGCTGCAATAAAGCAGATACATTATTTAAGTAAGAAAAGTACTGTACATGCATTTTTTTCAAGCTTAGTTATAAATATATTAACAACACAAACAATTGTAATGTTGATGTAATCATACTAAAAATTACCAAAACAGGTTGTTTATTCAATTTAACCCATCGGTTAGATTTCAAATCCCTCCTTTCAATGTCATATCCAGAAATTGGTGATCCACCATTTGATCTTGGAGGATCCCATTTGATTTTAATAAAATCACGATCATGATCAACAGCTTCTGGTTGACCAGGTTTACTTGGAACAGCTAAAAATAATCAAATGAAATACAAGTGCGATTATAATAACTAAGCTGAATTAAAAACTTAAATTATTTTTTATGGCATAATTTTGACTATAATTTAGGAATAAATTTTTAAAATTTCTTTTTAAAACGCATGTATATTTTGATTTAAAAAATTAATAATATAATTAAAATAATAAATATTTGATGAATACTTACTTATTAATTATTAATAACCAAAAGTATGCAATAAAAGACATTTTTATATTATAAAACTAATTACTTTATATTCATCATTGTAATAAAAATATCAAAGTAATTGATATATTACCATAAGGACTTCTAGCTGTTATTGGTTTTGTTGTAGATAATGGTTCAGAAACTCCTTGAGCATTTTCAGCCATTACCCTAAACTCATATTCTGTACCTTCCATAAGCTTTGGAACAGTGCAACTATTGGTATTAGGTGGTACAAAGGAAACAGCAGGCACCCAATTTCCACCTCTGGTCTTATCTCTTTTTTCAACAACATAACCTCTGAAATTTAATTTTGGATATTTTTATTTTATTAAAAATTCAGAAAATTGAAATTGATGCATCAGATAGACAAAATTCTATGAACAATGAATGTGATAAATTTTAAAATAAATGCAATTTTAATTAATATAAATTATTATACCAGCAGCATAAAAAAGTTCTTTGAAATGTTCAAGACAATGAAGCATACCAATTGAATAAGTAAAAATGAAATGGCAGCATGCAACAGTACTTTTTTTTGGAAGATATTCTTGTACAAACTATTACTGTGCCTGCACCCATTGACAAGTGGCAAAACAATTTGTGAGGGGATTCATTACTGCTTATTGTGAATAGAGTTTAACAATAGATGTTGCTTCAGGAATAGTGACCTAACATCAAATTTTGTGTTTTATTGAACAAGATATTGACAGAAACATTCAACTTATTTAATGAGTTGTACCATGCATCAACAATGAAAAAACTAGTGTGTACAAGTGGCATAACTATTTCTATGAAGGTGGGAAAGTGTCACTTCAAGATATTGGTGACTGATGAGAACATTGGAAGCAATTTTGTGAACAGTAATGTACCTGTGATGTGCCACAATGATCTGTATGCATTCAAAGTTAGAATTTCATGATAGTTGTCATGAAATCTTACACAATCAATTGGACATTCAGGCCTTGATGGCTACCCTGTGTCATGCAGAGGAAGATAGTTTCCAGTGATGCTTTGAGATGTACAAACACTGGCATAAGTGTATTGTTGCTAAAGGACCATACTACAGTTTCATATGAAGGACATATTATTTAAATTTTCTTATATTTATTTTTGGAATTGATTATGTATATTTTTTTGGAACTTTTTGCACTACTAGTAAATATAACAGCTTATAACAGAGATTTTTTAAAATTGATAAAATTATTGGTAAAGATTGAAAAATGTAAGAACTAAATAGAAACACGCTTACGTTAATCCACTTCCACCATCATCTTTTGGTGGTTTCCATGATAACACAACGTGATCTTTATCAATATCATCAACCTTCAGAGGACCTTCAGGAGGACTTGGTTTATCTAATCAGAGAAAATGTTAATTAAAATTTGATTTATAGTTTATAAACTGTACATAAATTTAGAAATATCTACACTTACCAAGTATAACAATTGTTAATGTACCACTGTCTGTACCACTATCATTAGTCAGTGTTAGGGTGTAGGGACCACTATCTAATTTGCAGGAATCAACAATATTTATAATTGTATGATCATCAAAATTTGATAGAGTGCATCTTTCATTTGATTTCAATATCTTTTCTTTTTGTTTCCAAACTACTTCAGGTGCTGGTTCCCCAATGAATTTAATATCTGAATTCATTGTCTGTCCAATTCTTATTTTGATTTCTTCCATTGGTGATATAATCTTCGGTGCCACTGTTAAAAAAATATGCAATGTATGTACTGTACATAGCATATAAATATATATGAAATATATATTAGGATTTTTAAATAATACTTACAGAATCTTGGTTTTGCTGTAACAAGATCTGATGGATCACTAGGTTCACTTTCACCACCTTTATTAACTGCTACGACACGGAATTCATAATCATTTCCTTCTTTAAGATCTGGTACAGTACATTTAGTTTTAGAAGCTGGCACATCCAGAGCTTTAGTCCATACAGGAGAGCCTCTCTCTTTCTTTTGAACAATATAACCAGTTAGTGGACTACCTCCATCATCTTTTGGTGCAGTCCATTCTAGATCAACATGATCTTTATCCCAATCTTTAATTGCAGGTTTTCCTGGTGAATCTGGCTTTTCTGTTTGAAAACAGTATTATTATTATTAAAATTTTTATTATTACTAAAAATTAAATAGAAAATAATTCTCTTACCATATGGATTTTTAGCAACAATAGGTCGTTTAGCTTCAAGAGGATCAGAATCACCTATTTCATTAACAGCAGATACTCTGAATTGATAAACTTTTTTGTGAATTAGTTTCGGAACCTTGAAATTTAATAATGAAGTTGTTCCCACTTCTACCCATGTTCCACGACTTGTATCCATTTTTTCAACAACATAATGTTTAATTGGACTTCCACCATCATCTTTAGGAGCTTTCCAGCTCAAATGAGCTGATTCTCTAGTTATGTCAGATATATCAAGTGGACCTTCTGGTGGTGAAGGGCGATCTATTAACAAAAATAAATTATAAGTTTTAGAACTAAGCAGAAAACTTTTTAATTTTTATACTCTGACTTGTGATTAAATAAATGCTTATTAATTTTCTATTTAAATTATAACAAATTAAAAATAAACATATTTTTTATATAGAAAATTATAAATACAATTTAACAAGTTTTAAATTTTTACTAAGCAATTTTCATTTTTATATGTTGCAACTAATCTTACCTACAACAGTTACAGTTGCAGATGCTGAAGTTTTGCCAGAAGTATTTTCTAAAATCAGTGTATATCTTCCAGAATCTGTTCGTTCTGCTGATTTAATTTCCAAAATTGTTTGAGTGGCAGTACCTCCAACTTCAACTCTTTTCATATTAACTACTGATTTATCATTAATATTCCATGTGACACTCGGAGGTGGTTCTCCTTTAACTGGAATTGTATAATTTATGGTTCTTCCTGCTCTTACTTTTAGATCATGTAAAGCTGTTTTATCTAATGATGGTGCCACTAAAAAATAATTTTATTGAATTATTAAATGCATTTATAAAAATACAAAAATTAAAATTTGTTTCTTAATAACTGATTTGTAAAAAAGTTAAAGCAACAATTGATATCTGAATATTTTTGCATTGAATAATCATTGGCTTATATGAAAATAAAAAATTTATTAAATGCCATGTTTTCTCAATTCTAATGTAGCATTCAATCTATGCATGCACAATTTTCAAGATGTCAAAACCAGAAAAAATTAACTTGCAAATGTAATGTGTACCCTATATCAAAAACACATTCACAAAAAAATAAAACACTTATTACTATTTAAATATGTTATTTTATGTTTACAGTGCTTCATGATGTCCATATTTTAATGGGGCCATAAATGTATCCATTTATGGCCCCATTATCAAGTATAAAGGATCTGCAGACCAATACAAAAATTACAATCAATGTTTTAACAAGATTTCTTATTGGTATGCACAAGCATTAAATTTACCAGATATGTAGAATCACACTGAAATATCTGTATACATATTCTTCAATATAATGGATTCTTTCTGCTGAAATACAGCTTTATAGGCAATTTGTCTGCTGGACATCATTCATTTGGCTCACTTTTCAAACACCATCAAACCATCCCAACAAAAAATTAAAAATGAAGTAGCGGGAAAAATATGTTCATGTTTATACTGATACAAAGTCATAATAACATAAATTGCCAAGCAGAGTGAAGAACAAATGAATGAGACTGCATTAATTAAGTCAACTTTGTACCTTATTCTAATGTGCATCTCAATTTGAATTAAGAAAACACAATACTATTAGTCGAAATAATTAAAAATTATTGTTAAATCAAAATTAATTTTTCATTATATGATTAGCAAATATATATTTACTATCTATTAAATTTCAATTTATGATTTCTAATTTTGTGTAAACTTACAGAATCTAGGTTTAGCTATAACAGCTTGTGATGGTTCACTTGGATCACTTGGTCCAGCTTTATTCAGTGCAACAACACGGAACTCATATTCTTCTCCTTCTTTCAAATCAGGAATGCGGCCTTTAGTGGCATCACCAGGAAATTTAGCAGCTTCTTCCCAGACTGGACTTCCTTTTGGTTTCTTTTCAATGATATAACCTGTAATTGGTGCACCTCCATCCTTACGCGGTGGTTTCCATTCTAAATCAACATGATCATTATCCCAGTCTGTCACTTCTGGTGGAGATGGTTTATCAGGTTGTTCTGAAGAATGAAGTGAAAAGTTTTTATAATTATTTTAATTACATTAAAAATTACATAAATAATAATATTTTATTATTTAATAATTACTTTTTAAATTTGATATTTACCATATGGATTTTTAGCAACAATAGACTCTCTTCCAGTCAACCAAGGTGATTCTCCTTCTTTATTTACAGCTTTTACCCTGAACTGATACTCATGATTAGGTACCAAATTGTCAACACGAATATTGTTATTAAGAGTTTCTCCAACAGGCATCCATTTTCCAGATTCTATATCTTTCTTTTCAACCAAATAATGAGAAATCTCTGAGCCTCCATCATCCTTTGGAGTCTTCCAAGAAACGGTGCAACCATCTTTCTTTATATCAGCAATACGCATATTTTCTGGTGCTGTTGGAGGACCTGAAAAATTTAAATGAATAGCAATTAATAATAATGATCAGAATAATTATCAGTATTAATTCAAATTAATTCAATACTTACATAATATTGTAATTGTTATTTTATGGGAATCAGTACCATTAATATTATTTGCTGTAAGAGTCAAAGTTCCACTATCATTTCTTTCTGCATTTCTCACAGTTAACTTTGTTTTATATTCTTCACTTATGACAGACCATCTTGGTAAATCATCAACTAAACGTTCTCCTAAAGTCCATTTTTTTGTGGGTGGTGGTTCTCCACTCACTGGCACATCTAATTCAAAGTTTTTACCTGCCTTGATACGAATATTATACATGGCATTTCGATCTATCTTTGGTGGCACTGAAATGAAATTTTGTGTTTCATTTTTTTATTACATTTCTTTATATATAAATACAGTATAGTGTCGTTTATCTGAAAACTGATCAACCAAAACCTCGGTTAACCAAAAGCATTCCAGTCAGCAAATTTAAATTTCCGCTAGTGTTGTGGCACTGCAATCTTTGGGCTACTCCAATATTTTTTGTTGGTTTGTGTGTTTTAGCTGGCAGCACAGGCACTTTTGTGTGATGTTTTTCTGAGGACTGTGTGTTGGGATGTGTGTCATGCTGAATCGAAATCTGTTTCCATCAGGGGACATTAATTTTGGATCCGTAAATTTTATACTTGTAATAGATCGTGCTGTAGTTGTACCATTCGCAATGGTGACTAAATGTAAATGCATTGTTCTCAGTGTTTCCGATAAACTTAAAATATGTATGTAACTCATTTCTGCATTCAAATGTTTTAATACTAGATTAACTGTCAAAATATAAATTTTTTGTTTTATATTTTTCAATATATTTATTTTGTTTGTACAAAATAAAGAAATAATTTTTAACGATACAATAGCCATGATTATTATTTTTAAAAATTTACATTAGGCTTAACATCGATGAAAATTCAACACAAAGCGACATGCAACAGAAAAAAATTTCAACATGGGATGGGTTAATATATTTTTTCGTACATAATCAGTTATCCGAAAAATAAGTTATCCAAACAACTCCCGTCCCCAATTGATTCGGATAAACGACGCTCTACTGTAACTTATAACTAAGCTAAGAACTGAAGCTTGCTAATTTACTGCTTAGGATATTTAGTGAATATTATCATCAATAACACAATAATTTGAAAGATGATTGTAACATTTTGAGTGAAAAATTAATTTTTGATTAACCTTTATTTTCAAAGAATTTTAACATCTTTATACAATAATTATTACAGGATAAATGAATATAATAGTTCTGGATAAGATTTATAAATAAATATAATTTGAAATCTTCAAAACATTTAAGTTTAATATTAACTTTCAAATTTTCTTATTTTGTAAAAATGTTATTTTCTTATATAAATATATATAAGATTTATATGTTCTAATACTTAAAAAAACATATATTAATGCTTACTGTTTTTAGGTTTGGCAGTATGCTGGGCAGTAGCATCACTTGGCTCTCCGGGGCCTCCTTTGTTAACTGCACGAACACGGAACTCATATTGGTTTCCTTCTATTAAATCAGGTACTTTAGCTTTTGTTTCATCTCCAGGAACTTCAAGTACAGGTGTCCATTCAGGACTGAACATCAAATTTATTATGTTATTATTTTACAATATAAAAATAAACTTTCTTTTATAAACAAATACTCACTTGTATTTATCCTTCTTTTCAATAATATATCCTGTAATTGGTGATCCTCCATCACTTGCTGGTGGTTTCCATGCAAGCTTAACAAAATCTTTGTCATAATCTTCAATTTTGGGTGTATCTGGTTTACCTGGTTCATCTATTTAGAAGTTTAAATATGCAATTAAAATAAAATATTTGGAACTAATTTTTAAAAATAAATTCAATTTACCAAATGGATTTTTTGCAACAATTGCTTTATCAGCTTCTAAAGGCTCAGAATCACCATGTCGGTTTGCAGCTCTGACTCTAAATTTGTATTTACCACCTGGTTGCAAACCTTTAACCTAATTATAATTAAAAAATGATTAAAATATACAACTTAAAATCAAAATCTATACTGATTTGTATACTTAAAATTAAGAAATTTAACATTGCTAAACTTACTGATTTTTAAGCATAGAAAATACCACAAATATAAATCATTTAAGTATTTATAATGATAATATCTTATAATGATTTAAACAAATAAATGTAAGATTTCATTACAAATTCTGAAAATTACATAATTACTCGTATATGGATTAGTCAGAAACATTGTCATTTAACAATGAAAATATAGTTAAAGTTCTTCATTTTTCATTCCAAAGAATCCTAAGCTCATTTTGAATTTATACAAATTCAGTAAAAAACAGCAAAATAACAGTTTATTCTACTAATTAAAAGAGAATATATGTATCCACAATTTAAAATATTTTCTACAGAACTAAAAAGACAATGATTTCTGGGGGAACTTGAAAAACGCAACACTCTTGTTTCAGAACACTTCATTCCTTAGTTAATATTTCTTGAATAGAGGATAAATCAAATTGTTTCACTGTCAAGGCTAATTTGTGACTTCTTATTTTAGTCACCACACATTAAGCCAAGATCAAACTTCAGTTAATCTAACTTTCTAAAGTTAGCTTCATTCTGTGGCTCCTGACTCTGCAATTATGAGCCAAAATTATTTTTGAACAATTTTCCAAATTTTATTCTTCTCCCAGCTTGGGTTTATTCAATTAATTTTCTCCAATTTGATTTTATTGAATTCTTCTGTAGGTTTTAAAATAAACTTGAAAAACATTCTTCACACAGTTTGTTCCAAAATGTTATATGTTTAAAAATCAAAATTTGATTCTACAAATTATTAGAGCAGAATCTGGACACCGAGTTGACATGACAACTAAATTTGAAACAAAGTATAGTTTTTAATACTAAATAATCTAGTGGTATTACATTGAATTTAATAGATTTTAAGCAATTTTGGCTAAAACTGCTAAAGATAAATGCCTATCAATTTTACAGAATTGTTTGTGGAGGGTTTACATTTGCATCTTGTTAAGCTCTTTCCTCTTCCTTGGAAGAGTGGATCTCAAGCTTACCAATATATAAAATGCACTTACCTTGATCAACATTTTACCTGATAGCCAGAGGTAATTCTGATCAAGAATATCAGTGCAGAGACTGTAGCATGAGCTATTGTATTGGGATGTATTGTTCATTTTGGCATATCTCAGTGAATCATCACTGATTGTGAAGGTAGTTTGAGGCAGAACTATTTCAGGAACTAACAAAATTCCTCAGAATAAATAAACTATGCACTATAGCATATAATTCCAAGGGCAGTAGTATAATAGTGTGTGTACACTGCTGTTTAAATTTTGCAATTAAGTGTCAACTGACAGAATGCTGGGTGGATGTCTTATTGTTTCAACATACAGGGAAGAATTGACCACCACCTGTGCCAAAAAAAGTATGAGACATTTCTGAGATTGTTATGGGAGTTCTTAACATCAACCACCTTGCCTTTTTCAGATCCTATCATATTTGTTACAAATTCATGCAACAATTAACACCTACAACTGCCTTAGCTCATACACAACAAAACATTTTTGTCACCAGACCTTTTCAGTGCTTTTCATTTTTGTCACCAGACCTTCAAACTGCATTGCACATTTTCATATGTTGCAATGCAGTTTGTAAATAACTAAACCTCATATACAACAGATCATACAAAGTGATGAATAGAGCTCTGAAGTTTTCCAAAGTGAGGATCAAAAACAATAATATTACTATCACTCTTGATCAATTAAAGCCTGCATTCTTAATCAACGAAGTCAAAAGTATTGGAAGAGAAACACTATAGCAGCACAAACTTGTTGTGGTTTCTGCTGATCACGTTGTGGATCCAGCAGAAAAGTTCATTTATCTTTGAAGTTTTTGTATCTTTCAATACTAGAGGGAGGAGCAGAGGCTTTACATCTGTTTCATTGGCTCTCTCCTCTCCTTCAAAGTGTTTCTGAGTTAGTGCAAAAAGCTGTGAGAATGGAGAGAGAGAGTTCATGACCAGATGGGGTTTTTGTAGCCAACTGGTAACATTTGAACTATAAAGATGACTGCTATGATTATCAAAAGGATTACCAGCAATAATTGGGAAACACATTAAAACCAATTTAAATTTTATTGAGAAAGTTTATTAATGACTTAACAAGCATAATTAATTGCTTTTAAAATTAAAGGTAGTATGAAAATAAAATAACAATTTTATGAAATTTCTAAAAGCAAATTAATTTTTATTATTTCATAGAAATCCAATATTTAAGTTTTTTTTGGTTAATAATTCATATCTAATCCAAAAAACAAAAATTTCCTATTAAAAATATTTTATATTTTTAATTGTATTAATTATAATAATTAAAAATACCTTCATATTTGTCTCAGGTCCAACTGTTTCACCAACTGGAGTCCATGCTCCTGTTTTAGGATCTTGTTTTTCAACAACATAATGATCTATAGGACTTCCTCCATCATCATATGGTGGATTCCATTTCAGATTGCATCCATCAGCATGTACATTATCAATTTTTAGTGGCCCACCAGGTGTTGATGGTTTATCTAATTTTAAAATGCAGAAAATTATTTGCTGATAATTTTCACTTAACTTACATTTAATTTGAGAAATCTTAATTACCAAATATAACAACTTCAACGTCAGCTTCATCTTTTCCGTGATCATTTACTGCTGTGATCACATATTTTCCACAGTCAGATCGATTAGCATTTTTAACATTGAGTTTAGTATTATATGGTTCATTAACTAACTTAATACGATCAGAAGGTAGTACTTTTTTGCTTTTAAGTGTCCAAGTTATTGTTGGTGGTGGTTCTCCAATTACATTAACATCAAAGTTGAAAGATTGGCCTGCTTTAATTCTCACTTTGTTTAATGCATTTCTGTCAATTTTTGGTGGCACTATAAAAAAAATTTAATTTTTATTTTAAGAATTATAGAAACTCATTAAAAATAGCTATAAATAAATGTTAGATTAACTAGATAATTTACTAATATATTTATTAATTTAACTAAAGAGCTCAGTAATTTACTCAATGTACATAAATTTTAAAAAATTTTATGAGTATTTAAGATAATTTAACTTACGTTTTCTGGGTTTAGTTATAACAGGACCAGTAGTTTCACTTGGCTCACTTGGACCTGCTTTATTTACTGCTTTTACTCGGAATTCATAAGGCTGTCCTTGAACAAGATCACCAACTGTTGCTTTTGTCTGATCTGCTGGTACTTCTGCAGCTTTTTCCCAATCTCCCCACTTATCTTTCTTCTCTATGATATATCCTGTAATAGGTGATCCACCATCTGTTTCTGGTGGTGTCCATGCAAGATCTACATGATCTTTATCCCAATCAGTTGCTTTAACAGGTCCTGGTTTACCTGGCTCATCTGTTTTAATCAAAAAAAGTGCATATTACACACATTAATAATAATGTGAATGCTAAATATTACAGAAGAAATATAACATAAATTGATAATTACCATAAGGATTTTTAGCAGTAATTGCTGCTTTTGTTTCTAATGGATCTGATTCGCCTTCTTTATTTACTGCTCTCACACGGAATTTATAATCTTTTCCAGGAGTTAAACCAGTTACTTCCATTGCTAATGAAATTATTATGAAATTATTATAAATTTCTTAAATAATGTAAAAGAAATAAAGATACTCTTTGCTTTATAGCAATTTTCTTATTAAATGTTATAATTAATTCTTAAATACAGTAAAATTTCCATAACTTAAAGCTCAAAGGGACAGGAAGAAACTTCGAGTTACAGACAATTCAAGTTAGAAAACAATAGAGTAAAAAATGCAGGTTCTGATAAATTTGTATTTTTACCTCTCTTGCATTACATAAAGAATCTTTGATAGTTTTTTTTTTGGTAACACCTTTTAGCAAAACATTCAATGTAACTAATGGAATCAAACAGTTTTGCAGGTACATCTTGTTAAGATAAAGCAAGACCTCTCACTTTGGACTGGAACATTGTCTGAAAATTGGTGTTGGAGAGTAGATACCACTGACTTTCTGATAATTTCATGGAAATCCAATAATTAGGATCACTTTGGAAAATAAATGTTAAAATTTGAAGTTGAAAGTAACATAAATTGGTGTTGGGGACCACAAAAAACTTCGATTTAGAGAAAATTTGAGTTAGGGATTTAACGTCTCTAACTTGAATTTCTTATGTTTCATTGAGTCCTACAGAGTGCTTGATTTTCTTCAAGTTAAATAAATATTCAAGTTACAGATGTTTGAGTTATAGAAGTTTTATTGTATAATGCTTTTAAAAAAACATTGTGCTGTAAAACTTATATAATATTGAAAAAGTTGTACATTCAAATTGACTAAGTTGTTTTAATTCACAACTGAAACTTTATCAGACTTGTAGAAATATAGAGAATACAAAGAACTTTGTTTGAATGCTTTGTCTATTACAGCAAAACAACATTTTTAAAAGTTATTGAAAAATAATAATACTTTTTATCATCATTTTAATACTTTTTTACTAATACTAATTTTTTACTTAATACTAATTTAATGAAAAATAATAATACTTTTTATCATCATTTTACATAATGTGTAAATACACATTATGCAAAATGATGATAAAAAGTATTATTATTTTTCATTAACTTTTCATTAATATTTTAATATATTTTTATTTAATAGATAAAAATTTTTAAAACATTTTGCAATTTTTCTATACTTTTAGCTAAAACATCACTGTAACCATAAGAGAGATTATTTATGGAAAGCAGCTAACAACCTATATAAAATTACCATCATTATTTTAATGTGTTGAATGATTAAAAGCAGTATTTTCTAAGTACATAATCAACTTATAAATAATTTTTATAATAATCAAATTTTTCAAAATATGATTTATCTAATTTTTAATGATATTTCCGTTCAAAATATGATTATTAGAATTCCTTTATAAATCTTTAATTCTTGTTAACACACAAAAAAAGTTTCTTCAAAAGTAATTCTTAAAGTTAATATATTAATCTAAAAAATTAACTGATTTGTGTGGTAGTTTTAAACTTTTAGATATTAAAATTTATTTTAAAAATATTTTAATTTTAGAAATAATTTTAAATTTTATTTGTAATTTGATAGTTTGATTTTGTGTAAGACTGTTTAAAACTGAACTGACTATTTAAATCTGAAAACAACATTGAAAGATTTTATAGTGATTTTTAATATATTTGATATTTTGCAAAAGCAAATATCAAAAATAGTGGATTACATAGAGAACAGCTTACAGCAAATAGAATTTTTTTTAATATCGAAAAATTAAATAAAAGAATAAACACAAATTAAATTTTTTTTTTGACAGACCTGGCTCTTTTGTCTTTCCAACAGGTAACCAAGTTCCTGTTTCTGGATCCATTTTTTCTACTTCATAGCATTGAAGTGGTACTCCACCATCATCTTTTGGTCTCTTCCATTTCAATTTACAACCCTCTTTGTGAACATCACTTACTTCTAATGGTCCTTCAGGAGAAGTTGGCTTATCTAAAAATTAGAAAAAACATTTGCATTAACATAATAAATAATGGTCCAGATTAAAATAAACAAAACTATTTTTTAAGAATACAACTAATTGATAAATAAAATGATAAAAAGTCCAAATTTAACAGTTTACACAAGTATAAAATGATTCAAAATCCAGAAAGGATTAAACTTGGGTGTTGTCATTTTAACTGACAACCATACATTATTCTAGTTCTAATAGAAGTCATATAGCTGTTGAATAGTAACCTATAAGGACCTTTAATGAGACATCTTTGCAGAATTTTTCTACTATAAATGACAATTTACACTTGAATGACTATTCAAGTGACATTTCAACCACCTTCCTTGCTTTTTTGGATATTTACTTTAGATCCAATTTAAAGTAAATATCCAAAAATTTCTCATAAATGCTATAAATGAAAGCTATAACAACAGGATTTAAAAGGAAAGGGCATTATCTGGAAGTTATAATCATGGTTGGACATTATCATTCTGGAAAATATATTTCACGGAAGACTTTCAGTTGCTATGATGGTATCATCAGAGTTTCATTTATTTATATACAAAAAACATAACATGCTTGGTTTTTTACTTTTTCATTTAAACTAAGGTATAAATGAAATAAAAATTGCATACTATTTGATAGGAAAGCACAATCTATATTTGCTGTTTCTATATTTGAATAACCATTTTTTAAGGATACCAAACCTTAATTTCTAATGAAAAAATGTTTTAAACTACATTTTAGTCTTCCTCAGTTTCATTTAATGATGTTTCACAAACTTCTCTTTAGTTCAAATTTGGAAAATATTAGCTGAAACGGAGGATGTTTTTTTCTTTTATCAGAAATTAACAGTTGTTCATATACAGGTATACCTCGCCTTACGTCGGTAATTGGTTCCAGGAAAACGACTTAAGTCAAAAAACGACGTAAGTCGAATTTACTTGTCTGCGAATCAACTTGTCACTAGGCTAAACCATAAATTACTATTCCCAGTTCTGTATTTTATTTATTAATGCATTTTTAATAATATATGGTTAATAAGAATCTATTTTAAGCTTACAAACAAACAAATTTTAGTTTTTAATAAAGTACAGAAAAAAGTAATCTAAATTTATGAATGCATGTACTGTACTGTAAATACAGTAGATACTTGTAAATGTGTATATTTTAATATGATTTTATGTGCTTTAAACGCTTTTCTAGTGATATTACGACTTCAATATTTGTGGCGGACGGATGTAAAGTCGAATAAAATGACTTAAACTTGATTTTTATTTTTTCGTATACTTTTTTGACAAACGACGTATAATCGGGAACAACGTAACTCGAAATGACGTAAGTCGAGGTATACCAGTATAAAAATAGCAAATATGATGCTAAATTTTCAATTTTTTTGCTTTCTATATTATTGCTCTGGTACAGTTAAAAAAAAAAAAAACAGGCATATTATAGTGACTATATCATCATCATTAATACTGAAGACTGTGAATTAATGAGGCAAACCATCATTGTTACCAAATAATAAAATAGACATAAAAAAGAATTTTATTTTTTAAATTATTGGTAATAACAATATAATATGACCAAAAATAGAAACTATGATAAAATATTAAGTTCATAATTAAATTTGAATACATTATGACCTCACAATATACAACCATTCATTCCAAGACTCCTCACATAAGCAGAAATTCACATAAAATAGTGAACACCATTAATTATTAAGCAATTCCTATACTAATATACATACCTATCACACATTTTTTTTTATAGAAATAAGACAAATAAACTGTATAATAACAATAAATAGCATAATATAGTAAATAATAAAAATAACATTAAAAAATTTTAACTCTCTAATGTTTGCAAAAAAAAAGCATTAATATCACATGGATAGGATGTGTTATATGTAAGAATTCCAGACAACAGTACTACCAGTAGACCTTTCTCCATAATATCCAGTTCAAGCAAGAGTAATGAATATACCTATACAGTATATATTTGTAGTGATGGCCAGATAGGCAAGTAGTTAAGGTAGCAGCCAACTACTCTGAGAAACCTAGCATTGAATCTGGTAGGTCAAAAAATTCCAGGAATTTTTCAGGGGGGTATGTCTGGATATGTTGGCCCCATCTCTCATCACCTAGTCACCTCATTGTGGGCCTAACCAAATCCATAATGGGTTTGCTAAAAGAAATCCTCTTAGTGCTGACTCTTAGGACAGAAAAAAAGAGTTTAAAAAAATATATATCTGTAGTAAAAACTTTTAAAAGATTTAGTTTTTCCTTTATTCCATATCATATCTGCAAATACCTGCCAATTCCTTAATATCTTCCTCAATATCCTCTGCATTTTTCTCAAAAGGAGTCAAATCATTTGCAATTTGGTAAATTTCCTGTCATGTGACAGCACTACCAGTCAAAGACTGATGAAGATCCCTAGTGTTTAATACAAAACACAGAAATGAATCACAGTAACAATTTCTCAAAATGAGAATGAGCAATATGCTTCATGCACCAAAGAAAATGGTACTGATTTAATGTGTAATTAAGAATTTTAATTTTACATTTTGTTTTGGATTGCCAGTGTAGATCTGAAACTGCACATGAGAAGTCCATGTACAGTGAGGTCCTATTGTATAATAAAAAAATTTCTTAATGAAAATTTTAAAAATTTAATTTTTTAATGAATGACTTTAACTTAAATATAAAAGCATAATTACAATTCATAAAATTCAAGAGAAAATATAAAATCTTGATATTTACCTACTACTAACACATTGACAGAAGCTGTATCCTTCCCTGATTTATTTGTAGCAGTGATTGTATATTTTCCACTATCACCCCGATTTGATCTTCTTGTTGTCAACTTAGTATTATAATCTTCATTTTCAATTTGAGTACGATCTGCAGATTTCAATGGACTATCATTCAATGACCAAGCTATTGTTGGTGGAGGTTCTCCAATAACTCCTACATCAAATTTAATTGGTTGTCCAGCTCTAATTGTAATATCTTTTAGATTTTTTCGATCGATTTGTGGGGCCACTGTAAATTTAAAGAAAAAATGAATAAAATGAATATTTAATTTATAACTAAATTTATTAAGTATATTACTTTCTATGTATCTAGTTGCCATTTATATATTATTAAAGATGGTAGGCAATAAAATAAATAAATATATATAAAAGAAAATGAGATTTTATATAATTTATTTAGTTGAGTTTAATTATTAATCATACTACAAAATTTTCTATATATTCTTCATTCACAAATCCAAATTCCTTCTATTCATTTTTATATACTGTATTTCTCATATTATTCTCTCTATTTCCTTTTTTATTTACTTTTATTTTAGCTACAAAGATATTATTAATTTATAAGAATCAGGCATATTCCATATTTATTCTAATAAACAGCACAGCAGTAAGATGAAAAAGTTATAAACAGTACACTATAATAGTAAGCATGTTATCTATTGGAGGAAGATAAGGTTTTATGAAACTGAAAAATTGAAAATTATTTTCAGCAGTCACTTGTACCATGTATTGAGTATTGCATTGTTGTTTGAATAATAAAGTGAAAACTTTATTATTTTTTTTCATTTATTCCATTAATAGTTGTCTTCAAATAACACTTACACCTAATTCCCAAAGAACAGAAATAATAGTTGCCCTCTAACAATATGTACACACTAATTAACAGCACAGCTACAAGATGAAAAAGACACAATAGACAACACTGTTTTAGAATACATATTTTATGACTTTTTAAACCTAATAAAAACTACAACTTAGTATATGCATTCATTTAAGTGCTTACCAGTATTTTATTATCTGTGAGTAACCTTTCCATTTTGTTTTCAATCTCAGAATAAAGTGATTTATAGTTATTTCATTTGCTAAATTTGAGCAATCAGAATTTGACATACAGTATATTTTATACAACATACAAAGAAGGGATAAAGAAAATGATATAAAAAAATATTAAAAAATATAACTTAGTTTTATTCATGTAAGTCTCATTGCAGCATTGATATTGTATTGCATTTTTCCTATCATATTAATATATATAAGATCTTTAAAATATTATATCAAAATTGATATTGTAACATTAACTGGGCTAGATAAAGCTAGAACTATGGAAATAATATCTATTCAGTAATCTTTATTTAATATTTATTTGTAAATGTCTTTAATATCTTTTGTTAACCAAACATTACAGTTAATTTAATTGTATCTTTTTTTAAACTTTCTTTTCCTATAACAAGTTTTATTTTTAAATTAAATAAAACAACATAATCTTCAATGTACAGTTGTGTGAAATGCTATTATACAGATTTTATAAGGTTTGCATTACTGTTAAATAATAGTGTCAAGAAAAAAATTACTCTAAATCCGAGGTGTGGGGAAAGTAACAGCAATAAAATAAATCCAATTTAATTAATTATCTTTAATTAATTTTTTGTTATAGTTTCTAAATTAATTTTAAAACTTACGGAATCTTGGCTTGGCTACTATTGGTTTTGATGTTTCACTTGGTTCACTTGGTCCAGCTTTATTAACAGCAATAACTCGGAATTCATACTCTTTTCCATCATCCAGGAAAGGAGCTGTTCCTTTAGTCTGGTCACCTGGAACTTCTGCAGCTTTTTCCCAACGTGGACTTCCTTTTTCTTTTTTCTCTATAATATAATGGGTAATTGGTGCACCTCCATCTTTATCAGGTGCAGCCCATTTCAAGTCAACATGATCACGATTCCAGTCTGTTGGTTCTGGCTTGCCAGGTGCTTCAGGAGGATCTTAATATAATAACAATGTAGTCATTTAAAAATTATTTAAATATAAAAGATATAGTATTTTATTTTTTGTTAAAAATAAATGTAATTTACAGTTATGAGAAATTTAATATAATAACAATAAAAATAATCAAAATTATATTGCTTTTAATTAATTGTTACTTACTATATGGATCTTTAGCAGTGATTGGTTCTGTTGTTTCAAGTGGTTCTGAATCACCTTCTTTATTAACAGCTTTTACTCTAAAGTTATATGATTTTCCAGGAGTTAAACCAGTAACTTCCATTTCTGGTGCATGAGTTTTACCAATAGGTATCCATGAACCAGTATCTGGATCTTGTTTCTCAACAACATAACCATCTATTGGTTCTCCTCCATCATCTTTTGGCTTATCCCATTTCAACTTGCATCCATTCTTATTAACATCACTTACTTGTAGTGGTCCCTCTGGTTTACCTGGTTTTCCTAAAAATGCATTAAACAGCAAATAAATAAATAAATATATATTTTTTTTAACAATATGGTCTAATTTCATACAGCATAATAAAATTAATAAGAAATATGTTAGAAAGGTATTTGATATATGAAGTTTTGTATAATAAATTCATTATTTTTTCAATAATGTAAGGAATATATCATCAATATTTCAAAGTACTTTAGCTGCTTTTATTATTTATATAGTGAAACAGCTGTCAAATAAATTTAGGTTAGCTAAATTTATTATATTATAGTCTCGGCTAAATTTTAGTTACTTATCATCATATAATATAATTAATTTAAATTAATTTACTGTAGAGTATTAATTTTTAAATAACTAAAGAATTTAAAAAATTATTATTATTTATCATCATCTCCCATTTTACATATGTTTAAAGCACAGTTCTATTAGTTTTAATCTGTTTAACAAATTGTAAACCAGAGATTAATATTTTTAATTTGAAGATTTTGTTAAAAGTCATTTAAACTATAGGATTGGTCACTAGTTCTTTTTTTATTTAAGACAATAGTCAAGATAACTACTTCAGATATAAAAATACATTTTCTATTATTATTTTAACTAGCTTACCCGTCGCACATTGCTGCGATCTCAGAAGAAATGAAATTCAAGCAAACTCGTTATGATAAAATTAAGTTTACATTTTATCATTTTTATTGAAACTTATTATTATTATTATTCATTTTCATCGGGAAAACATTTCAAAGTGTCGTTTCAATTTTATTTATTTATTGGAGTGCTTTGTGGATACACGATATTTTTTGTTTTTCTGTCTGGTGCGTACACGAATAAATCAGAAGATTTTCCGACGCGTGAGCTGGCCACACAGTTGTCCATGTGAGAAGCATGGTTTCTTTAAATTTAGCCCACATACTCGCAGAGATTGTTAGAAGTGCGATATTCCCCATTTTTATATATATATTTTTTAATCCTTTATAATTTTGATTATTTAATTGCTCCTTCCTCTCTTCCTTGGCATGTTGTGAAATTTCTCATAGTTGGATAATAAACCGTTTTATTGTAATTTGTCTTTTTAAA